GAAGATTCCCAAGAGATTGCCTTTGGGGACCACACCCTCCAAGCCCACCTTGGGTGCTTTATTGTACAGAGTGGGAGATGAAGGGAGTGCTTCTGGGTCTTCCCTGGTGTTGACATAAGACTATCTCCCACTCTGCTTTATTTCCTTCATGCTACACGAAGCATCTCTGTCCCCATGGGTTTGGTGTCAGGATCTGTGCCCTTTCACTGCTACTCCATTCTGTGACAGGACTGCCTGCTAGACTCTCCTGACTCACAGATCACAGAGGTTCAGAGGCATGAGGCAGGTTGTAAACACATCCTGATGTAGCATGATTCCCTTGCTCAGAAGGCTGGGGTGAAGGGTGCTGCTGCCACTGTGAAGGAGTCACTCTGCAGAGAACACATGTGCAGTGAGAGGTTCTCCTGGGTCAGCCAGATGGGCTGGCTACAAGCAACTCACGGCTCTGCTTTCCCTGAGGATGAGCACACAGGGCTTGCAACTTACGCCTTCACAAATGTGTAAATGTATATTTATTGGTGAAAGTGATACATTTTATTTCATTTTTTCTCTCTATGCTTGCTTGGGTTCCTTTCCAGGATCCATTGATTCAGTGACTTCTGGATCTGTGTAATGGGTTGTTGTGGGGTCAGTACTTTCTGTCCTAGGTCTTTTGTGGGTGTCTGTGTGAAGAAATAACAAGGATCCAACCACTCATTCCCAAAATGAGGGAAGCAGAGATCTTCTGTCCCTCATTTCAGGGAACATCTTCAATATCTAAAGCTTTGGAAAGGAATATTTTGTTTTCTGCTAGTCTCTATCTCTTCTACTCTTTGGCATCTTTGCCTAAGCTAGCCTCTCTTTTCATTCATGTACCTGTTGCTGGTCCCATAAAGGAGGATGGCTGTCAGCAGTGTGGCATCCAGCCACCTCCACAGAAACTGGGTTCTTACAGGGTGTGTGTGTGACATGGCCTCTGTCCTCCAGACTGCAGCTGGAAGACTCAACCTCACCTGATACAATGGCTTTCCTAATTTCATGGGCAAAAGGTAAGTAGGAAGAAATGCGATGAGCATCTCTAGACACAAATGATAGTAAGACAAGCTTGAGAAACACTGAGCTGGAGTGACTGGGAGAGAGAAAAGGGGAGGGAGTTGCTAATATTTCTCAAAGTGATGGGATCCAAAAAAGAAGAAGTCCTGGTTAAGATTTATTTAAGGTTAAGATGTTATACAGAGGGGTTACAGTTACATGAGTAAGGCAGTGAGTACATAACTTGTCCATCATTGTTACTCCTTCCCTTCCTTGTTGTTGTCCCACTATCCCTTCCCTCCCCCAGCTCCCACACTTTTGCAGCCTTCCAGGATCACAAAGCAAGAGGATGTGTGAAGACTGAGCTAAAATGAGGACACGAAGCAAGGAGGAACAGACAAGGCTGGTGGAAGAGCTGGCCTGTCATCTGGGAGCCTGTCCATTCCTACAGGAAGATGGATGCTGAACTTTCTAATTATATAGCCTAACCATTCCCTACTTTTGCCTAAGCCATTTTGAGTTTGATTAAAAATCAGTTGTGATGTAGTAATCATATAAAATGAGGAACTGTACCAAAGGTAACATAAAAAACGTTGATCTATGAACTCACCACTCATGTCTCATTCTGTGCTAAATTTTATTTTGTAATTTCTTCTTCTTGAACTCTGGGCCTGAGGACTATCCCTTAGCTTTTTCTCCAAGGTAATTGTTCTAACACTTGAACCTCAGCTTAAGTTCTGGCTTTTTGGTGGTTACTTGGAGATGAGTCTCGAGGAGTTTCCTGCCCAAACTGGCTTTGAATATTGATCATCAGATTTCAGCCTCCTGAGTAGCTAACATGAGCAACTGATGCCCCTCTCTCCTCATACTATCTTTGCAGATAGTGAATCCCAGTCTTTGGGAAGACCCATTTCAGGTCTTCCTGAAGCAACTTTTTAAAAATGTCTTTTCCCTTCAATCAATAAAAAAAATTGTTAAATTGCAAAAAAGAAAAACATATAACAGGGAAGATAATTTTCTATCACTTTCTGCATTAGTAGCCCCTGAGGATTCTGACTCTGCTCCTGTTCTTGGTCCTTTCTGAAATTTATCATCACCCTAGTGGTTTTGTGCTTTACTTGAAATTCTTTTCCATTAGAGATGGGGTTCTTGACTGATCTGCTTTCTAAGCTCTTTCTTTTAAGAAAGGTTAAATATGGCATCTATTTGACATTTTTCAATCAATTTCTATTACTCCAGCATAAATAGTAATTTATTCATAAATTAAATTTAGTTCTCTTCATATTGTCTATATCCTACTAAGATTATGAGATTTATCTGTTTATATGAACATTGTTTTATTTAACTTTGTTTCCCCAGGCTCATCACAAAGATTAATTTAATTTCCTAGCAAATTTCTTGCATATCTACATATTGCCTCAGCATTTATGAATAGAAAAGGTAGTTAATTATCAGAATGGTAGCTTCAGAAGCTAAAGAAAAATCTTATCCAAGTGGGAAGAGGCTCAGAATTCCCTGAATGATGAAATAAAGCTTCCACATACAAGCAGTTATGTGAGAGTGAGTGAAGTGTCTGTGGGTAGTGAGAAAACCTGCAGAAAAGAAAGGCAATGGTACTGAGGAAGGGTAATTGTAGGAGCCCAAGAGCCCCCAAGTCATGTTCTACTGCATATGCACACACTGGGACCATGTGTCACACCCTACACAACTACTCCACTAACGGTTGCAGAAATACAGCGTTGTAGTGCAATATCAGGGTAATTCATTCCATAGACTACTAGCAGCATAAGCTTTTGTGAAGCTTTAAAAGTACTAGATTTGTGTCACATCGTGAGACAATTATACATTAGCATTACATCCTGCCTCTTTTGTATTGTGTCTTCAGGCAGAAGCAATATTTCAACTATGTATACATTGGACCTGAAGATAACTTATAGTATCTGTATTTATATATTTATTTTTTATCTTCCTAACTTTGTCTAGGTTTGACTAAACATAGTTTTAAGTATAAGAAGAAAATATATCTGACAAGATTAAATAAAGAATCAGAAACTGAGATGAACTTGCCCTACAGAAATGAAAATGCATTTTCTTGTGAATATGTATTTGGGAAAACTACATAGAATATTGATAGAATGATAGAATATTGAGAATGTGGAGAATAATAACATTAAAATGCCACTTAACAAATTTTTTAAATATACCATGTCACAGAGAAAAAAATCCCATTGAGTAAAATTAAATTACTTCTTGTTTCCACTATACTTCATCTAAATAAAAATGAATTAAAGTGTTTAATATGAAAGGCATTAATATTCAGGCACTCATTTACATCTAAACCTAGTATACCTTTTAAGCCTAAAATTATTGGATAATACTACAAAGAAAAAGACTCATTATTGACAACTTCAAACTTTAAAATCTCTTTAACATCAAATGCAGACAAATTTTAAAGGTGAAATAAATATATAAATATATATTATATTTAATATATTTAATATATTTAATATATAAATATATATTATTTATAATAACAACAGCAAAACAAATGCCATTATTATAAAATTATACCTAGAAAGCAACCTGAAAATACAATTTTGTGTGGTGGAACAGATTGTATGTATGTCAACACAAAAATAGAAAGCAAACGTGTAAAAGAAAAGTTACCAGTTATAAAATGACACAATGGAAACAATATATTTAAATTTGATTTTCAGTTTTCAAGTCACCTAGAGAAAATATTCCTAATTGTGGAATAAAAAAGATAAAGAAACAGAAATAAACTAGTCCATGTCAAAATTCAAATTAATTCTCCCTATTGAGGTAGAAATTTAAAGGTAAATATTTTTTAAATTGCAAATATTTATTTGATACAATAATTCTACTTCTAGGATTTTAACTTAAATATTTAATAACAAATGCTTCTGTGAGGTTACTTGCAATAATATTTACAAAAGTGAAAATCTAGATATAGTAAAAATTGGTAATGGATCAAATGCTTATATCTTCACAATACGAATATCGACCTCTTTTTTTAATGATTTTTAACGACGCAAGAGCTGCCATGTAAGTCATATGTTACATGAGAGATCCTTTTGTGTAATATCTCATTTCATTCTCATAGTTACTAGCAAAAGTAACTTTTCTTGTTTCATCCATAACATAGTGAAGCCTAGAGAAGTTAAAATTCTTTTTTTATTTTCATCAGTAATTTGTGACACCTGGGCCAAAATAGACAAAAAAATTGTTCCATGGACTCTTTTTTTGATCTCATCAAGCCTGTCAGTGTTCACACTGCAGTATTGTGAAAGCAAACATGACATGGTGTTTAATCAGGGCAACATCTTCATTAGCAAAGTGTTTATTGGAAATGATTTCTTCCTGGATTCAGCCCTCGCCTACAGCAAATATCTTAATTTCCTAGATGATTATTTCTGGCCTACCAAGCTGGACATCAAGCCTCGTGGCTTTATTGGATATTTTCAGGTTTTTCTCCTATGTAGTTTTGGATGGTGTCAGTTTCTGCTGACCCTACAACATCCATCCCTCCCTGGTAGCCAGGGAAACCTTGATATCAAGCTAGTCCAGATAAGTGCTGGAAGGATGCTTTGTAGAAGAGGATTGTGGGGTTCATTGAAGAGGACAACGATGTGATGGCCATGTGGCTGGATTGCATTTCTGAGTAGTAGCACTGGAGGAGCAGTTAGGCCATCAACTGGTGGTGTTATGAGTACTGGGACACTCCACGAACAACTATTGTTACATTGTCCATTAGAGACACCTAGTGTGGAGTGAAGGATGGCTCTTGTATTGGAAAGATCTCCAATATTGTGGTTTGGTCTCTGCATAATCTGGGACTGTGAGCTTGAATTGGCAGGTCCTCACATGGCAGAAATTATGCCACTATGTAGCAGATTATTAGAAGCAGGAGGCATCTGGTTCAATGCAGGCTGGTTCTTCACTGAGACAAGAGAATGAAAAGTTGATACCTGTGAAGGTGGTATTGTACCCATAGCATCATCATCATCCGAGGGTTGTTTAGCTGGTGAGGAGGCATTGCATGCAGAAATGGGGACAGTGACTGAGGCCATGTTGGAAAGGACAGAAGGAACTGCACACATGGGAATAAACACACTGTGCTGGGATGACATTGGTGGACCAAGGACAGCTCTGAGGCACAAAGGATTGATTAAAAACTAGGAAAGGATAGGGGACCGTAGGTTGAGGTAGATTAGTGGAAACTTGCCCCATCATGAGCTGCCCCTGGTCCAGGCTACAGGGGACTGGAGAAAAAGGATAAGGTTGGGGTAGAGGGAAGGTCCTTGGGGACTGGCCCATTCAGAACATGCCCCTGGCACAAGATGTAAGGGACCTGGGGGAACTGATAGGGTGGGGTATAGGTGGGCTGGTAGGTACTGGCCCATTCAGAAGGTGTCCCTGCTGCAGGCTACAGGGGCCTTGGGGAGATGGATAGGGGTTGGTGCTGGAAACTGGAGGTGATGTAAAAATGACTGCCTGAGAAGGCAGTGTTGTAGCCATGCCAACAGGGTCATCATGTGTAGTCAGCTGCAGAGCCACAGGAGAAGATGCCCTAGAGGCAAGCATAACAAAAACTGGGGGTGTCAATGGTCAAACATGGCATACGTTTTGGGACGAAAGTCCAGGGGGAGGAGGTTTGGGGAAGACAAAATAGAAGGTGTTGGAGACTTTGATCCAAGAGGATGGCCTACATTCTTTAGAACCCCCAAATTAGCAGCAGGGGTGCTATGAGGAGCAGAGTCAGTAGGGGCAGACAAACAGCCAAGGGGGATTTTAGGGGTCAGTCCCTCTTTAGGATTTGATGAGTCTGCTCTCAGGCTGTGGGCCCCAGTGGCATTCCCAGTGCTGGGAAGAGCTGTAATGTCTGCAGTGCAAGTAGGCAGGTAGCGGGGGACACCGGTCCCCGCATCAGGTGGGCAAACAGAAGAGGCAGACACGGTGGCCCTGCCATGTGTCACTGCCTCTGGTCTACCCTCCGAGGCTTTTGCCTTACAGTTTTTTCTCTTAGGAGACAGATGGCTCTCACTAATGCCCCGGTCTCTCTGCATTTCAATACAAGGAAGTTTCGCGGGTGGGGGGAGCTCACCTCGACCCCAGGGTACAGGCCGGGGCAGTGGCAGTGGCAGGGGAAGATCCGATGTCAGGGATGTTTTCCTCTTGGCGGCTGTCCGCGCAGGTGTCTTTGGGGGAGCATGGCTTGCTGGGGGACTAGCTGTGGGCTTGTCAGCCTCCACCTCCTTCCCTGGCTCCTGCGAATCTGAGCAGATGGGGAGGCGGCTCTCGCCAGCCATGGCGGAGCTTTGCGAGCTGGGCATGTCACAGCCGTGACATGAGGTGCTCGTAGGAGGCGCACAAGCCCCTCTGTCCTCTTCAGGAAGAACTCGCTGCTGGGGACGAGAACAGCTTCCCTGGAGAGCGAAGGTTCTCCTGATCCCCACAGGAGGGCCTGGCGCGTCGTCTGCCAGGCTCGGGCGATCCCCCTGCTCTCTGGCCTGTCCCGTGGGCTCTCCCTGCATTCGGATCTTCCTGGAGGGGCCTCCTGGGCCCTTGGCTTCGGGGTCCTGGCAGTGAGGGCGATGCGGATGGGCTGGAGTCTTCGGATCCACCACCTCGTCCTGATGAACCTTCTTAACATTTTCTTGTTTGCATGTGGTGTTACAATGTTATGTTTACATCTCAGATTAGTGTTAGAGCAACTTTTTAGATGATCTTTGTTAATGAAATTTTTATGAGGGTCTCATTACCAAAATATACAAAGGAGATTTTAAAAAGCTCAAACCTTAACCTCCAAAAATTCACATCGTAATTAATAAATGGGCAATTGGTTCATAAATACATGAAGAAATGCTCTAGATCCTAAGCTATAAAGGATACAGCAAATAAAAACAATACAGAGAATGCATATCACTCCAGCCAGAATAGCCAACATCAAGAATACAAACAATAGCAAGTGCTGTCAAAGATGAGTGGGAAAAGAAGTTCTAATACACTGTTGGTAATAATGTAAATTCGTACAATCAATGGAAAATGTTATGGAGATTTCTGAAAAGAATAAAAAAAGAACAACCCTACAAATTGGATACTCTACTACTTGAGCTATGGTGCCACTTGTAGCATTTTCTGAGTAGTTTATTAGAGATAGGAGTCTCATGAACTTTCTTGCCCCAACTGGCTTTGAACTGCATTCCTCAGATCTCAACCTCCTGAGTAGCTAGGATTACAGGTGCGAACCATCATCACCAACTCTTTAACTTTTTTTATTAAAAGGAAGCTTTTGAGCAATATAAACTCATGACACATTGATCACTAAAGCTTTATGGAAACTCTCTCTAGAAAAGGTTAGACACTCACTCAGTCCACTAGTGGGTAGACAATAACATGACTTTATGGTGGACTCCGGTAAACTAGACTTGCTTTATTTTCCCTTCATCTATGTTTATTTTAACATCTGTCTTTCTTTTTCCTGCCATATACTAGTTTATTTGTTTTTTCCTGGTTTGCTGTTTTGCACTTTGTTAATCTTGCAATTGAAGAGCATTTCAAGAGGCAAGTTAGAACAGTGAGAAAAACACTGTTTTTGTTCATTTGGCTCCAGCTGAATTTATACCTGGTAGCAAGAGAGCTTATGGTTCTTGTTTATGTGGTTAAATTCTGTACTGATTACTTCTGTTCCAGCTATTAAGTCACTGACCTTGTTTGCAGTTCCTCTGCCTATAGGATTCGATTTGTCACTGAGGAGTTGTTTCAGAACATTTACTTTTTGCTTGGGCACCTGGTGGAGGGCAGGGTGATGGGACTTCCCTCTACTCTGCAGGTCATGCAAGCAAGGGACACAGACCTGAGCACATTTCTCCCTTCACTCTCCTGCAGTTCTTTGCTGTGAGAAGGAAAATGCTCCCATTTTCTTTTCCTAATGCTTCTTGGATTCTCATCAGTGACTTTTTGCAGTCTATTGCTTGCCTATCTGATTAGAAGACCATTGTCATAATTAACATGCCTGGGATTCAAGCAGACTTTGTTTAACAGAAAATTAAATTTGAAATGCTATCAGAATAAAGAAGACAGAGTGAGGTTGAGCTGCCCTCCTTCCAGCCCCTGAGTATGGTGGGCTCCTACTAGTGACTACACCTGACCACAGCCAGGTCCTCTCTTGAAAACAGTTTGGTGCCCACCAGTATGAAAAGAGGGTGTCTTTGTTGGTGTACTAATCCTCCTGCTTGCTCATTGATACCTATCTAGAATTCACCTACTGGTTACTTGGTAGAGGCAAACCAGTTTCTGTAGATTCAAAACTATAGGAACGCTGGATGACTTAGGATTGGTGCAACTGTAGCCCTGAGTTTATGGATTTCAATCTTCAAGTTTCCAAGGCAGAGAGCTCTAACTGCCTGTGCTTGTGTTTAAGTTTCTTATCTGGGCCTGACCATGTGATTTACACCAGTGGAAAGCAGTTTTCTTCCAAATAACCATTCCAATTTAAATGATATTCCAAACAGGTTAGTTTTCAGATATGGATGACCAAGCAATGGTGGGGGGGAGGGTTACCTTTGAAATTCAGACATCTTGGTTGTACATTTGTTGGTGACCACATCTAAAGCTTCCAGGCAGCAAAATAAAAACAGGCTAGGAGTTGGAATTACTAACTGGTGAGTCCATAACCAGATAGTTCGGATCCAAGTAAAAATTGTAGCTCAGCTAGTGGTGTCTAATGGAAAATCTGCTCACTGGCCAGTTCCAGTTGAGGTCAGTAGACTCCATGTATTGCTTCTTCCAGTGACCATAAAGCTGGCCTTTGTGTTTCAAAAGTAATTACAGTGGGGCATTTGTTTGTTCATTAGCTTGTTTGTTTGTTTTTTGGGTCCGGTCGTGGGGACTGAACTCTGGACCTGGGCACTGTCCCTCAGCTCTTCAGCTCAAGGCTAGTGCTCTGCCACTTGAGCCACAGCGCCACTTCTGGCTTTTTTGTTTTTGCTTATGTGGTGCTGAGGAATCAAACCCAGGGCCTCAGGCATGTAAGGCAAGCGCTCTACCACTGAGCCACCTTCCCAGCCCCTGTTCATTAGTTTTATTGCTTGCTTTACTCCCATTTCTGCAGGTGGTACATGTCAGAGTCCTGCTCTCCAGGGCTGGTCAGTCCACCAGCCCCCACTTTGCAATGGTCACTGGTATCAAACCATTTCTTCCTTTCCCACTTACCACTGCAGCTACAGTCAACCTTTTCCCAAATTTTAATGTGGTAGATACTAACAGCTAAAATTGTATCTGCCAGAGTCATTAATATTGGAACACCTTAGAGGATAGGGGTGATGCAGTCACTGCTTCTGTTTTATTCCTTGACTTCTCTGAAGTCATGATGAAATCAGTTGTCTGCCTGGTCATATATTCCACAGAGCCAGGCTTCTTAAGGGAAAAGAATGATTATGAGTCATTTTCCCCCTTGATGTCCTCCACAGGTAACATCAGTGCTACTTTAATTTTGTTGAAACATGTCAGATTCAAGTTTAGCAAATTTATTAAAGAAGTTAAAATTTAAGTAGATACATAACAAAGTATGTGTGTGTTTCTTGAATTGCAAACTTCTAGGTATGTCTTCCAATCTGACTTCTTTACTAAGTTAATGAGAACTCTGATGAGAAAGTCATCATTTCCATGTACCCAGCACTATTTCTTACCTTAGAATAACTCAGTGCTCTTCTAGAACATGTTTACTGCTGTACTTCCTTCTTGCTGAGCCATGGGGCTCTGTCAAGCCATGGGCCTACTTCCAATTAGTTCAATTATTTTCTTACCTTTATTTTCACCTTTAAGCTATCTTTATAAGCTGCCAGACATCATATTCATCATAGTTCTTTTTCATATCAGTGTTTTAGGATGGAAACTGAAAGAAGAGTTGGAAAGAGCAGAAACATTTAAGTGACAGCTCTTCTAAATATCACCTGATTCAACTTGCAGCAGTTGTTATCATGACTAACTGGGCTTACCATGGATAGGAAGTGTCAACCCAACAAAGCAAAGATGCCCAGTGATCTAAACAACACTGTTTCCTTATTGC